TTTAAAAACAATACCTTATCAGAATTTAATAAAAACAGTTAAATAACCTCTGCAAAACCACTTTTCCCTTGTAAATTTTGGTATGATGAACGTGCAACAAGGAATAGAACGGTTAATCCAAATGGAAATGTAATCCGTCCGACCCCAAAATGGGCATTTTAGCTTCCCAGTGGCATGTCCTTTGAGTGTTGCCATGCGAAATTCGCTTCAGGCTGAGCCTCTGGAAGTTTGTAATCTCTGAATTCCACACATCGCCTTCTCATTGCTTGCATGATATGCCACAGAGAAGCAACACTTTCCCTTGTTCAGCCATCTACTGAATTCTCGTTGGCTTTTAAGTACGAGCACAACTTCTTGTTCCTACTCTGTTTTTTTTTTTTTTTTTGGGTACGGTTTAAACTGGTAATTCTTGTTTTCTTTACCATTTCCATCTATCATTTGGTTGACTCCTCCAAGCATTTGTTACCACTGCTAGTGGAATTGGTATGAGGCTTTTGTTGTTTTGAGTTTTCTGAATAATGGAGTAGCCGAAAATGTATCTACAGTCATATTATGCTCTGGTTTACTTGGTTCCTCTTCCATGAAATCGAAATGGGTTTGCTTTATTTTTATACTTTAATAACACGAGCTAAACTGAATTTGGTTTTCAGTTATTTAAACATCTGCATATGATTCGAATAAAATAGCCCGGACTGCTATAGGACTCCTCACAATATGCTCACCATCTGTCCATACCAAGCTCCCAAATTTGTAGTCTCCATACACTTTTTGGGTTGTTGAGAAGGTAACTTTAAAGGGAAGAACTTGTGTGGTTGTGTTGAAAATTAGTATCCGGGGCTCAACTTTCATGTTTATACCATGTGGAGCTTGCACTACGGCTTTATATACTGCATCAACGTGTCCCACGTTTGTCACTGTTCTTGTTACTGTTACTCTCTTTTTCAGGTTTGGAATCGAGATAGATGGGAGGTTGAGGTTGAGCAGGAGATGGCTGTTTCTTGTGCAATTGATTGTTGTCTTGGTTAAATGGGTGATGGATGTCCTGCTATAGCCCATGGAGCAAAAGAACTTGATATAGTCCTCGGTGCTAATATCATAGATGAGACCTGGATCCGCTGCTTTGTTGGGATTAACTTGCCCACCACCTATATCAAATGGGTCTGCTGCCTTCCGAGTTGAACCCTCTTCAACTATACTTGCTCCATCTGTTCCTGTTTGGGAAGCTGCAGTTTTGCGGTGAGCATATGTTTGTTATGAATGGTTATGGCCTTTTAAAATAATATGAAAATAAGTAAGGCTAGAGTATTCACCAGTAGTGACAAGAGCTGATTTTATGGCAGCAGGGGACCATTTTTTATGTACAGATTTAATGAGAGCTACTATTGCTGAAACATGGGGACAAGCCATTGAAGTTCCTGATAGCAATCGATATCCACTGCTTTGTTCCTTATCAACTGGTGGAAATGCAGCTAAGATGTCCACGCCTGGTGCAGCTACATCAGGCTACCATAAATGCTCAAACATTAGATAAGAAGGTAACATTTACTTTTTTTAAGTACGAAAGAAATGGGCAGACAAGTGAAAAAGACACATTAGAGAACAAGAAAGATAAAAGATACTATGAAAATTACCACTTCATATATTATCACTTTTTCTTTAAAATCAGAAATTCCAAAATTGTTCATGGTTCAAAATGTGCAAAGGAAATTTTAAATACTTCACGCATTTCAGAAATAATTGTATTTCACATCTGGGACTTTAGCCTAATGCCAGGAATGAGCTAACATTACACTAAATAACCTCTTGACTTTACCAATAGAAGGAATGTTCTGCATAGATTCATACGTGTAATGAATCATTTCATATTATCATTTCTTCTAACATTTTCTAGTCTGCAAATCTCTTCAGGAATAATATTCATATTGAAGTCAGTTACTTGGTGAGCCTTTGGAAATGAAAGCAATGTCAGCCAATGAACTTAGGAATTTAACTCATTGAAGATACCTTAAGCACTGCTGGGGATATTGAACTAGGTCCTCTGGCTGAGAAATCTGCAACTCTTGGTGAGACCCTTTTCCCTGTAAGAGTCTTTGGGAAGCTCAGCTTGGCAATCGGAGACCTTCATAGAGAGTAATAAAGACTAACATTATTTATGGTAATGAATAATCAATTCTGTTTTTAGTTCTTCACCTCATTAACATCTCCTTACCTCGCTTTTCTTATGTAGGAAAGTATCTCTGTCCCTACTTCATAGTCAACCTTAATGCATGGTATCAATTTGCATGAACTAAGCCCGTCACTATGATACTGTGCAAAAATAAGTCCAACGCCATCAGCTTCGATCACAGAAATTGCTGCAGAAAAAATATCCTGTGCATCCGATGTTGCAAAACAGAGAATGATTTTTCCTGCTGCTAGTGTTTTATTCAGACTTCCTCGCTGGCAGTCCTGGCTGGAAGAGGTAATGTAACAGGATGAGGAGAAAAAAAATATCGAGATTTTTACAATAATCTGAAATAGAGGTCTCACCTTGAGATGTCATTGGATGATATAGCTATGCGTTCAGAATATGTAAGGCCAGTAAATCCATGAATATGTCTTCCAGTGTCAATAGATTGCCCCTGCAGCAAACAGATTATGATAAGAAATATTTACAGAATGCATTGCTTGACTAAATTTTGCAAAGAATTTGCTACCCAAAGAGTGCGGTTATTTCCCAGTATAATGGCTGTTGGGAAGGCCCTATCAATTGTGGTTGCTGCAACGTTGATAATCCAGGGTGCAGTGTTCTCAATTGCCCCTGAGGTAGGGCCATCATTCCCAGCTGCGCAGACTACAGTAATTCCCTTAGCAGTTGCATGAAAAGAACCAATTGCTATCGAATTACGCTGATCAACATAAGAGAACAAAGGTATTGAACTTCCAATTGACACAGACAAGACGTCTACTCCATCATCTATTGCTTTGTCAAATGCTTTTAGAAGATCAGCATCAGTGCATCCCCCCTCGTCAATGGCCCAGCAAGCCTTGTAAATTGCCAAGTGAGCTAGAGGTGCTCCTCCTCTGGCTAAACCTGTGGCCAATCCTTCGTAGTTTGCTTTTTCTACAAAATATCCTGCAGCTGTGGAGGCTGTATGAGTGCCATGCCCAGCTTTATCCCTTGGTGATAGAAACTCCTCCATATTTGTGGTATTTAGGGACCTTTTGATCTGATCCTCCATTCCTTTAATAAACCAGCGAGCTCCAATGACCTTTTTGTTACAATTGGAGGAGTTAAAGAACTGACCCTCTTGGCAAGTTCCTTTCCAACGTGATGGGATTGGACCCATACATCTGTCATTGAAGCTTTCAGACTCTGGCCAGATTCCTGCATGTTTGGAAACATATCTTACTTTAGCAACAAATTGTCAAGGTGTCTGTTCGTCGGAAGATGTATTACCTGAATCAATAACACCGATGATGCTTCCTTCACCCATGTTGCTTTCTGTTAAAAGATTTTTTGATGAATGAGGATGCAGGCCTATGAATTCCCAGCTCCTGGTCGTATGAAGCTTGTGGATGCGATTTGGAATCACTTTGACAACACCAGGAAATGCTGCAGTTCACAGGTAGAAATTTTTAAGTTTATGCTCCCAAAATGAGAACCCCTCGTAGAAAAATTATATCGGATATAAGTGTACCTGCAATTTCATCTGCCTGAGATTCGGTAAGCCTTGCTGCAAATCCAGAAAAGCCATGCTTATAACTGTAGAGAATTGAACCCTTTGCTGCTTCTTTGCTGTGTACATAAGGAGATGGTTTTTAATGACCAATTTGCAGGTGCAAAGCTTATTATTTGAAGCCATTAAAATACCTTCCAAGCAAGGAGGAGAGCATTTCATGATGAATCATTTTGATTCTTGCTGGATCTTCATACTTTTTCTCTCCCATATACACTATATGCACCTATACATGACATTTGCATGTCAGTAATTACCAGAGAAACAGACCTGGAAGATGGAAATTGTAGTTTGCATGCATGTACTCACATTATTTTCAGTAGCCTCAACAAATAATGCTGATAATTGAAGGTAGTATTGAAGTGAAATGGCAGCAAGAATGACAAATAAATTGAGCTTGCGTGTGCCCCTCCTGGTACCAAATTTGGTTTCCATCTGCCAAATTTGGGAAAAAATAGTAAAAGGTCTATTATGTGGTGTTGCAAAACAAATGCGCGCAGAAAGGTTCATGAGCTAGTCATATGAGCACCTCTACCGTAGCTTCATGAAGAAGAATAAGTGGAACATTTTCTTTTTAGCGCAACAGAGCTCTTTATGTGCAATCAATGGAAAAGCAAAAATGTGTACCCCCAACCTACCATTGAAGCCTAATGATGCTTGAGCAAGACTTTGTGTTGGTGGAGCATAAAGAATTGGAAATGGTGAATGGCATGTAAGACATAATAAAGGTATAGAGGATTTTTCTAATCAACTTTTGCTATCTTTCCTTTCGGTCAACTTTTGCTATCTTTCCTTTCGGTCAACTTTTGCATGTCCATTGTTTTCATTTCATTGATGCATAATCATGATTAATCTGCTCTCAATTTCAAGAACCCGTTATATCTTCTTTCTTTTGTACAATCATTGTTTTATGGAAATGTTCCTATGAGTGATCTTGATGAATAGTGATATTGAATTCCATTGACATAGGGCCCTATCCACGGTCATGCATTGCTTTAACTCGTGCTTTTGCTTTTTCTCATTTTTGCAGTGTACCCATTTTTGAAAGGAAAAGCACAAAGGCTTTTGGAAAAGGTGTTGTTGTGATGAGCCCTACAGAGGATGCTAAGAAAAGGGCAACTAAAGGCGAATGAACAGCTAGCAGTGGGCAATTAGTGGGACTGGATTCTTGGGAAAAGTTTTCGTGAGAATGGACTCCCAGAGGAAAGTCACAAAAGGCAAGTTACTCCAGAGTGGAAGCAGCCCGCCTAAATCACCAATACAGGCTTGTTATTAGCATGGCTTTGCTTGCTTTCTAGAGAATAAATGGATCCCACTTCTGCAGCTCTGTTAAGAAAGTCCCAGATGGTATTTTTCTAGTGTTAAATAATGCTCTACAATAATGACACCAACAAGTAATCTTTAGCCATTGTAATGCTTAGTAATAATTTTTTGAAGTAACTTCCATTGCTCATTCCTAATTTTGCGATCTTGTTTTATTTTTCTTCAGTGATCTTTCTTTTTTTACTCAATTCAAATAAATGACATTCCATTAAATGTAGTATACTTCGTAGTTAACTGCACTGTCTTCTATTTCCACACCTACCTCTGAAAGAGAGAGTACAATTTTACCAGGGGAAGAAAGAAAGTAAGATAGTGATTTCATTGATACAAGAAATCCCCATGGCTTCTCTAATCCCATTTTTACTCTGTCAACAGATCCAGAGAAGAAAGAGACGATGAAGGGGACCTTTTTCTACCCTTGCAGGTTTTCTTGTTTTTTATGTTAACTGGTAATAGACCCAGGGCTACTCGAACCCTTACAAAATCCTTCAAAAGTAATTCCTACACACCTAGAGAACTATCCAACATCACCTGACACAAGCGTGGCTGTATCAAATAAGCATCAACTAACCATTTGCACGGCACCCAACAACAGAGTAAATAGATGTACAACATACAGCACCAGTAAACCATATGCACCAAAGCACCAATAGGATGAACGCTGGCCAAGATGAGCAATGCACTATATCAACTAATGTCAAGAATAGAATTAGCACTGTCGTCCTTGGGATTGATCATCCAGTCATAGAGAGAAAAAGCGGCGCCTTCGCATCTACCTTTAATCCATGAAGAGTATCAACACCATTGTGAATAAATTTAAAGATTTGATTATGTTCTACTTTTCCATATACACCATACAACAGCAAACCATGTGCATTTCCATCCATTATGCCATTTGCTCCTCTGCAGAATCCCTGAGAGTTGAAGAAACATATCTTTGCAACTGTTGGACAAGACAAGATCAATAGCCCACCAATTAGGAACAGCAGACCAAAGGTTCCTCACCAAAGAACACTATGAAAACAAGTGGTCAGCATCTTCGTCTTGTAGATTACACAGGATTCAGAAAACAGTATCAGGCTCAAGTGCTACACCTCTTCTGCTTAGGTTGGTTCTTGTTGGAATTTTATTCAGAACAAGCTTCCAAGCAAATGCACAGATGTTTATAGGAACCAATTTATGCCACACTAAAACAAAATCATTGTCGCCATTATAAAAAGTTTGGTCTGTCAAATTTGCATAAGCTTTCTTCACAGTAAACACACTGGAACTGTCCCCATTCCACGCCAGTTTATCTTTGATATCCTGTTGAACCTCAAAATTAGAAGGAAAAGCAATGAACTCATTAACTATTGATAATTCCCTTCTCCATCTAAGTTCCCACCTGCGTGCACCATCCTCCCACACTTCCATCTCCTCCACTGCAGCATCAACCTTACATGACAATCTAAACAGCCTAGGCAATCTTTCCTTCAAACACACCCCTCCAGCCCACACTTCATCCCAAAAGAAAGTATTCCTCCCATTCCCGAAAATTTTTCTAAACCCCTCCCTTAAGGTGGGAGTCGTGCATAATCACAGTGAATTGAAGTCATGTAAGGGCAATTTAACTGAATTAATTTGGACTTGGTTCTCTATTCAACAATTGCATTGTTCAGAAACAGAAACCATTATCATCAGAAATCACACTTCTGGCTTTGCTTCTGTTCTGATACCTTAGACTAGATGCCTGCTTCTCTGAGGGAAAAGTCCTTGACAGAAAGTTAATTTTGCTCCTGATTTCAGAAACAGTGAAATACATTCTCCAATTTGTTGGTGACTATATCAAGAAATGTCATTACAGGCTGTTAGCTTCTTATTGAGGGCAAGGATCTCTGTGAATTAGAATTAATTTTAGTTATCATCAGCAGAAAGTTCTAAGATCTCTGTTTTGACAGACAAGGGAATTCCCACAGCATGTATTCCATCAGTCCAAGTCAGGGATCCAAAGTAATATCCTGTATTCACCAATCGTGTTGTAGGGACTGTAACAGTGAAGGATATCTTCCTGGCTACAGGATTGAAGGCTAAAACCTCAGCCCTCACTGATACCTTTATGCCAAAGGGGGGGCTTGATTATAGCTGTATAAACAGATTCTGGGGCCCCAACATTCGTGACTGTTCTGGTGAGAGTGGTGGAGGTTTCTGAGACTTGTAATGGTTAAGGAAGGCAGATTTACATCCAGAATGGAAGGTTTTTCAATGGGGCATGCTGTTGGTTTGCCTGTGAGTCGACTGATAGCAGAGTTGTTGTAGCCCATGGCACAGAGGTAATGAATATAGTCAGCTGCACCCATGTCATATACCAGGCCAGGATCTGCTACCCCATTTGGGTTCACAATGCCACCCCCAAAATCCAGTGGATTAGCGAGCTTTTGAGGAGATCCCTCAGCAAAGATTGGCAAATCTGATTGATCATTCCCCCATGCTGCAGCACATGAATATATATCTGGTGGGTCAATCTTCTTATCATTTCTTGAAGGATTGATGAGAAACTTTTTTTTAAAAGATGAGCTAAAAGGGATACCAGTTGTGAAAAGGGCAGATTTAATAGCTGCTGGAGACCAATCAGGATGCAATACTTTGAGAAGTGCTACAATTCCAGAGACATGAGGAGTTGGCATTGAAGTACCTGATCGCATGGCATATCCACCGTCCACCAACCAGTCATCGGGAGAAGTAGCAGCTAAGATGTTCACTCCAGGTGCAGTTATGTCTGGCTGTGCGAAGATTAACAAAGATGGTCTTCAAATGATAGACAAAGAGAAGGTGGAAGGTAATCTAACAATGTGAACTTATGTAACTTGAGAACTTCTGGCGCTATTGAGCTAGGCCCCCTAGAGGAGAAAAAGGCCACCTTTGGAGACACAGGCTTGCCAGCAAGTGTTTTTGAAGGGCTCAATTTCACTATAGGGGACCTATTTTGAACAATGAAATGAGTCATCGTATACGGATTTGAACTGTGTTTCAACTTAGAAATGAAGATGAAAACTTAGGTACCTGACAGAACGGATGTAGAATAGTATTCTGGTGCCAATTTTATAGTCAACTTCAATGCAATGGAAATCATTTCCACACGGAGATAAGGCATCACTGGGACTTTTTGCAATAATCAACCCAATTCCACCATCTTCTTGCACAGTTGCTGCAGTACTTATTATGGCAACTCTATGAAATACTGAGGTGAAGCGGAGGACTACTTTTCCAGCTACCATTTGAGTGTTGAGGGAAATATTTTGGCATACTCTGCAATTTTCTCTAAACAGGTAAAATTTGTGCTTTTCTTGTTTGATAAGTCACAGATAAAATGTCTAGTAGCTACCCTGCAGAATTAGGTTCAAGCCCTTTCGCTTCTGGGTATATCAAGCCTGAAAAACCAATCTCCTTCCCAGTGTACATGGCCTGACCCTACAAGCATGATACAATATCAAACTGCAAATAGCTTTACCCGTTGTGTTTAGTAAATAGTCAGAATATTCTTGGAAATAATATAACAGTACCAGGAAACTTTTGCTGTTCCCAAGAGTTATGCGTGTAGGGAATGCTCTATCAATGGTGCTTGCTGCAACAGTTAAGATCCATGGTGCAGTGTTTTGGACTGTTTGAGCTGAAGGTCCATCGTTTGCAGCTCCACATACAACAGTGATTCCTCTGGCCACGGCATGGAAAGATCCAGTGGCAATCCCATCACGTTCATCAACCTGTGGAAAAAGAGGAATAGAAGATCCAATTGACGGTGATAAGGCATCAACTCCATCATGAATTGCATCATCGAAGGCCTTCAGTATATCAGCCGATAAACACTGTCCCCCAAGCACATTCCAGCAGACCTTGTAGACGGCCAACCGAGCATGTGGTGCTCCACCTCTTGCTGTCCCAGGACCAAGGCCTCTGAAGCTAACATTTCCAACAGAAGACCCAGCTGCAGTGCTGAACGTGTGCGTTCCATGTCCATTTGCATCTCTTGGTGACAAGTATTCCTGGTTTTCAGATGTGTTCAGTTTCTGTCCATACTCAGCAAGAAATGCATCCATGTACCAACGGGCTCCAATTATTTTTTTATTACTGTGAATTCTAGCATTGAATTGGTTTCCTGACTGACAAACACCTTTCCAACGGGAAGGGATTGGTCCAAGTCCTTCATCAGTGAAAGCTTTACACCCCCGGTATATTCCTATTTGCATCAGGTAAAAGAAAATGTTTTTGAGTTCTTTCTGAATTTTTTGTGCATATGGAACCGAGAAGCTATTTGATATAAGTGAGAGGCTTGGACCAAAACATGATAGGGAGTGGAGAGAGGATGGACCTGTGTCGAAAACACCAATGATGACACCATCTCCCATCTTGCCCTTCTGAAGAGCATTGTCAGGATAATGGGAAGAGATACCAACTCCTGGTGGTTAGCAGCCGGTGGAGGCTATTTGGTATTACTCGAACAACACCAGGCAACTCTTAAGGTGGTCAATCACATAAATTTGAAAGAGAAAACATGAGCATTTATGCTATGCTGTACCATTTTTGGTGACTCTACATGACCTGATGGATGTAAAATCTTACTCTACTGCTTTCAATTAAATGAGGAAATTGAGAAGGAATGAGTACCAGAAAGTTTCTGTGCCTGAGACTCTGTAAGCTTGGCTGCAAAGCCTGAAAAGCTATGTCTATAACTGTAAACAATCAATTCAGAAGCCACCTTCTTACCGGACCATGAAAATCCCAACTCAGCATTTTACCAATGTAGAAACACAAACTTTATTTACTCTTTTAAGTTTTCCACATATATATAGAGATATACATCTACCTCCCCACAACAGCAGCTAGCAAGTCAAAATGAGAATCTGTTACAAGCTCAGAATCATGGTGTTGCCTTTCTCCCAAATAAACTATATGAACCTGTTGAATGCATACCAGTTCAGAAGAAGAATTCATGAGATCCCCGAGTAAGAATTTTACTTCTATTCTCTTCTTCCTAAACCACCCAACTGCGGAAAATGCATTATTAGTGAACTAGAAAGTTTTACATACACGGCTCTTAGCATCAACTTGTGGTATCATCATCAATCCCAACCCATTGAGAGCAATGAAAACGCAGATGAACGCACATTTTGTTGCCCATAATGTTTCTTTATCATTAATTTCTGACAGAAAGAAAGAAAATTGTAAAGAGATATGGATTGATCCTAGCTAGATGCAATATGGAGAACCTTGATGCCTATAACAAGACTTAGGAAACATGTGTTAAACGGCAATATTTGTCCTAAACTTGCAAGGCTTCACAACTTGAAGTTGTGGGAACAACATAGTGCTTCAAAATCAAACTTTGCTATATCAGATCAAATGATTTAAATCACATTGTTTAACTGCTAGGGATGAGTTAGTCTTAGTCTCTTAGAATGATTAATTAGGGAAGAAGAGTTACAAAGCCGCGCATGATAGCATCAATGACCGTACACGACCTGATCGAGCAGATGGGGAAAGCCATTGAAGCATCGTTTCAGAGTGCTTTCCACGCACTTTTGGCATGCGCCAGCATTTCTTCTGGGCGTTGGTTACATCGTTTCCAGGACTAAAAATTGAATAAAAAATCAAAAGAAAGCAAACATGTCGGAGTAGGTACGTAAAAGGAAGACAATTTTGGTCATTTATTTGGGGACACGAAAAATAACAAGTAATGGGGATAGAAAATGGGGAGAGAGGTTACAATGAAATGAGTAGTTGAGTACCAATATCAATAGTTAGGACCGGTTTACTCAAGTAATATTAACTTGTACTCCGAGTAGATGAAAAAGTTTGTGTTATTAATTAGGCTCAATACAATCTGAAAACTACTTTAATTAATGATTTGGTGTATTGGGTGGGATAAACTCAATTTTTTTAAAATAAAATTTTAAATTTGAACATTTTAAATGAAGAAATAGATACATTAAGAGAATTATTTTTTATAAAATTTGATATAGTTTAATTTTGAATTAGTCAAAATTTAATATAATAATCAAATATCAAAATGTTAATATAAAAAGAATTCTAAAAATGAACATTTGACTAGTTTTTTTCCTTCTCAAAAATGACTATGATCGATTTGAGTATATTATTGACATTTCTAAAATCTAAATCGGCATTTTTAAGCATATACAAACCCAGTTCAATTTGGGACCATCATTCCTCCAGTTATGACTCTGCAGTAGGTTTTTTTATCTGTTGGTAGCTTTTTGTTTCTTGCTGTTGCTTTGTTCTGATGGTACTGTTTTCTTGTCCTTTGTTTGGTTGTTTTTGAACCTTTGTAGGATGTTGGTGATGTTTTAATGTTAGAAATGAGTTCATTTCGGCCGAAAAAGTAAAAAATGAAAAAGAGAAGAAAAAAAATTGTAGCCAGGATAGAAAGCCGGGAAATCCGTCCATAATTTTGATAAGGGCGTTTTGGGAAGCCAGCCCACCCCAAAAATTAAAAATTTTTATCAAAATAAAGTATTTAATAAAAATAATTATGTTTCATATATAAAATTTATATTTAAAAAATTAAAAAATCAAATTCAATCTATTAAAAAAGACAGGAGGGAGTACCTGTTTGGATTAAAATGAGAAAAATGTCTTTAACACTTATGTTGTGAAAAAAATTATAAAAAAAAAACGTTTTTATCATTTTAGTTAAAAATGAAATCCACATTGTATAGTAACATTTTCTTTTTTTCTTGATTCAGGAAAAAATATATTTTCAAAAAAAAAGCAACAAAAGGGGTTTTTATTTTCTATGATATGGAATGAAATATGAATTATACAAGCTCAAAGGAGGATTCCAATATGGAGAAAATGATTTTTTTTTTTTTGTGTGTGTGGAATAATTATGTTAAGTAATTAAGAAAAAAAAAAGGCAAAAATATGGGCAGAATCAGTGGAATTGATATCATCACGTCTTGTTGTTGTCCCGAGGCTTGACAACAGTTGATCAATCATGTAATTATTATAATGCTATCGCTGTTAATTATGACTTTTGATTTGCTGGTGCACGCACCCAAGCATCTGAACTTTGATGAGAAGATTGACACCCTGTCCTGTCACTACCATTGTAACAATTTTGCCCTGTTACCTTAGCCTTTGCCCTTGGCACTCCCCTCCCCCATTGTTTCTGCTTTGGTTTTTGAATTTTTCCTGTAAAGTTGTACTGGCTTACTGCTAAAGGGGCCCCCACCTCTACTCCACTTTTTCTCCCCGTCTGGACCAAACTACCCTGCCCCACCCCACTTTCTGTTTTTTTTTTGGTGCATCCCCACTTTCTGTTTTTGAGGTACTGAACTCGTGTTGGAAACATATGTATATATATACATATATAAATATATATTTTTTTTTTAAACATGAGAAAATTATAAGGAAAAAGAATTTTTTAGTGGTTAACGAAACTGAAACTTTTGATTAATTCAATTAAAACATTAAAATTTAAAGATGAATTATTAAATTTAAAGATCTGTTTCGTGTTGAACATAATTTTAATACATTTTCCATTCGCAGGAACAAATGATTGCAGTAATGCATTATGAGGAGTGCTAGGGGCACTCGCCTCCTGCACTCTCCGGCCAACACTTTCACTTTTATTGGGCCACGTTATTCTGATGAGTAAGAGATTGCCTAGCAAAGCCGGAAACGAGCTTACGTGGCCCAATGAAAAAGGAAGTGTTGGCCGGAGATTGCAAAAGGCGAGCGCCCCTAGCACTGCTCAATGCATTATTTATGCCACCGCCAGAAGCCTCCAAGCATTGAAAAAAAAAAAAAACAAGCTTACCTTACAAGAGTCTTAAGAGGTCTTCAATTTAAAGTGACTCAAAATATCATGAATGTCTTAACTAAGAAAAATAAAATACACCCAAATTAATCAAAGGGTATATAAGTTTCTAGTGTCTTGTGAAACTAAGGAAAATAATTTTTGTATAAGTTTTTTGTTTTATTTTTTTATATGATTCAATATATTATTTAAATAATTAATTTTTTTAATTCATATGAAACTTGAAATATTAAATGTATTTACTCATTTAATGATATATAAAAATTATATAAAAAATAATATTAAAAAATTATACTGTAGCACCACCCGTGGACCTAAATGATCCAGTAAGTAGTGAGTAGGATGGCAGCGCCACTGCAGGACCCGGAAGAGGTGTCCGTTTCCATCCCCACCATTGGTGGGGGCAGGAATACTCGTGAGGAATTAAAATGTTGAATATATTTGGTTTAATATTTTTAAAAAAGTGAGTTTTAAAGTTAATTTTGATTAAAAAAGTAATTGTTATAAATTGAATATTGAGATTTGATAGCATTTGTATTTTTAAAAAATTTTACAAGATAAGAATAATTTTTCATAAAATTTCAAAAAAAGAAAAAAAATGTCCCTTTCTCGTGAGAAGAATCTCAACCAAAAATGAGAAAACTTGTCATCCATAATAGTGTTGATATAGACTTTAAAGCCCGTTTGGTGGATCTTTCTTCCTTTTTGTTGCTTGTAAATATTTTTAGTACACACTTTAAGTTTTTTTAACCAAGTACTCATTTGCATACATTTATCATATTTATTCATGCATGATATTATATATGCCTTTAGGTGTTCAAGTAAATAAGTGTTTAAGACTATAAATTTAAAATTTAAAATTTAAATATTAAGACAAGAGGTCAATATCTTATTATATAATTTATCATTTAATGTTAAAAAAAATTTTATTGTGTAAGTGTGTAATTATATTTTTTTACAAATGTGGTAAAATCCTTGAAGATATGTTTGATTTCCTTAATTTAAAATTAATTATAACTATTAATTATTTATAACAATTAAATCAAATAGAATTTAAATTAAATGACAACTAAACTTACTTATCATTGGACTTGAATATGAAATTAGTAAGAATACAAGGCCTCTCTCCAACCCCTTTTTATTATTATTATTATTATGGCCTCCCTACACCTGTAACTAATAGAGTAAAAGCTTCTTTGGAAAAAGAAGAAACTTTACTACTGTTCTTCATACACTAATGATGCTATATAATTAAGCATATTTAGTTTTTTTTTTTTAAACAATTTACAATTTAAAAGATTGAAGAAGGAAGATTTTTCAAAATATTGATAAAATTTGAAATCCTGAACAACTAACTCAAATGCCTTAAAATTTA